GAGTTCCGGTAAGCATTTTTTAGCTTTTCTTGTTATATGTCATCGATTCCTTTCGTTTGGTACCTTTTTCCGGCGACCGGATCTCTGATTTTTATATATTTCTCTATTTTCAAACTCCGGCGACCGTTTTTCTCGACAAATTTTCCACGTCCAACATCTCAATTTCGATTTGTATTTTCTTATCTATCATTATATGCGTTGTGCTTGGATCACTACTCTTGCTGGAGTAGTCGTGTGAGATATTTTGGTTAGACTTTTGTGATTTTGGCACGTCTTGCCGGGCGTGCCACACATACGTGTGTTTTTTCTGGGAGTTTGAGTTGTAGGTACCTACTTACGGCAAGCGCCGGTAATCGCTTATGCGTTGCATACATACGGAGTTCGTTGTGTTGGACCATGGTGGGAATCGACAAGGACTTCGAGGCCCGATTTTTGCGCTTTCACGTGAACGTGTGTCTACATCGAGTTTGTGCATTCTTGGTTACTATCACTCCGAGACACACACACATAGCCTCTCTCGCTTCAAGTGCTTCTACGTTAAACCATTCGGATGGCTCTAATTCACGCTCTATGGTCTTCGGTTGACCTCCTCTATCCCCTCCGGACGACCACTATTGGACACACGGTGGTGACGACCACCGTGTCGCGTACGCATTTTCTTTTCCTATTTTCTCTTTCTTTATTTGCTTCTTGTGTGGCTTTGTGTGATTTTGATTTGTTTGCTTGTCATTGTCTCTCGTCTTCATTTTTATCGCATGAATGTACGTGATTATGTGCTTTCGCCTATACTTTTTGGTCAAGCAATGAGGACATTGCTTTGTTTTAAGTGTGGGGGAGGGATTTCGTGATTATGCATGTTTAGGTGATATTCTCTTCATTTTTGTGCTTTATTTTTCATATTTGTTGTGTCGTGGACCGGTTTTATTTGAGTTTTTGTGTGTTCGTGTCATCTCTCTCGCATGGAACTTGATGTTTGTTCGAGAGTCGAGATAGCTAAGTGGTGAGTTGAGATTAATTATTGGTTTCTCTATTATCATTCATGCTTGATGTACTTGATGAATTTGACGGTTTCCTTTAATTGACTGATGATTCGTTGACACTAGAAGTCGCATGTGGATTAACGAAATTGTTTCGTCCTTTGTTTGTTCTCGATTAGTTGGCTTAAGGCATGCTTTCCTTATGTTCGATTATCGTTGTAAACGTGTTCTCTATACACTTGTGGTACATTTCGATCGAGTTGAGATGATTATGTATTGTAATTGTGATGTATCCTTGTGTGCCTCTCCCTAAAAAAAGAAAGAATAAAAAGTGAGTTCGCGAGGAAGTACGGATTAGGCTCCTCTTATTCCGAGCCATTCGTGGATTGGGATAATGAGCCCGGAAAACCGGTTTAGGAAACTCGAGGAAACCCCTCGAGGTTAAACCTAGATCATCTCGTCTGGAAATCTCGTTTGGAAAAAGAAGCTCACGAAATGAGTTCGTGGGAGTCAAAGGGATTAGGCTCCTCTTGGCTCGGTTAATCTTCTAGATAGATCGGGTCAACGAGCACGAGAAACCGGCCTAGGCGACTCGGGGACAAACCCCGAGGTTAAACCTAGGTAATAATCGTCCAAACGGCTCTCATTTGGAAAAAGTGGCTCATTAAAAAAAAAAAATAAAAGAAAATCGGGGAGTTGGCCTATTGATCTCGTGCTTATTATTTCATGTTTTGTAGATCATTTATGGTTTTTGCACGTATATGTGAATGGGGGGGTTTAACTCGAGCGATCATTTGTGGAATAACTTGGGACGGGTTTTTGTTTCGTTTCATTCATTGTGTGGGAACCGTGTCTCGGATTGGATTTTGATTTTGGGATAACCGGATGATAATGAGAGTGTCATTTTGCATATTCGTTAATTTTGGCCCGTTCGATATATCTCTTCGAGCTATATGTTATTTTGTTTGCTTGAGGACAAGCAAAGTGCTAAGTGTGGGGGAGTTGTTTGTTATGTTTTTGTGCTTATTTTTATGTGTTTATATGTGTTATCGAGTCATTTTTAGGTTCGTTTTAGTGTCGTCCGGTCCATTTTGTCGTTTTCCGAGTGTTTTTGTGTTTTTCGTTTTTATTTTGTATCTTGGCGTACTTGTCCGTGCTTTTGATATATTTTCAGGTCTATTTCGAGGATGAAAAGAAACTCGAGTCAATTCCGGGCCAAGCCAAGTCATGTCGAACGAACCATTTCAAGTCAAACGTGTCGATTCCTTAAACCGAATTCGGACGTGCCTTGAACGTACCCCGCGCACCGAGCGCCCGCATGCGCACAACGGCTAGCACGCCAACCCCCACCGCACGGCCGTACATGCATGCCACGCTCGCGTGCTCGCCTTCACTACCGCGACGTCGAGAGCCCCTGCCCAGCGCATCCGCGTGCTCGCGCGGACCTCCACGCGGTCGAGAGTGTCGCGCGCCTCACGCTGTCAGCGTCCGCGTGCTCGCCGCAAATCCCGCGACGTCGAGAGTCGATAGTACCGCCCGCTCGCGTGCTCGCCTTCACTTCCGCAACGTCGGGAGCTACCTGCCCCAGCACACGATGCCCCGTGCGCTCGCGGAAAGAGCCGCGCGCTCGAGAGCTCCGCACCAACCACACGCCCGCGAGCACGCCCCAGCATCCGCGCCATCGAGAGTGCGCCACTCCCACACCGTGAGCTCGCGAATTTTACGGCTACGTCGAGAGTGCCTTCATTTAAACTGCGTGTTTTAGTGTGTGTGTGGGTGGTAGTATAAATATTTTTCTTCCTTTGTATTTTGAGAATCCAACTCTCATTTTTTATTTTTCCACTTTGGGAAATCAACTTTTATTTTATTTTGCTCTCTAGATTAGGAGCTTATGCTATTTTCCGGGAGATTTTCCAGCGACTTCGGTTTCGTTCAAGTTTCGAGCTTTTGACTCCGTTTTTCATCGTCTACGCAATGGGAGATTGAGTATTTAATTTTAAAGCTCTTTACTTCGTTTTTGCTCCGGTTTTACTTATAATTTTCATTAGTGTAAATTGGATTTGATTGATGATGGTGGAAATGCTTGAACTTGATTGCTTGCTTGAGTAGATAGAGCCGTTAATTACTTGTTGAATTCGACTAGATGACTAGGGTTAACCATCTAATGCTCGTAGCTTGTTTATTCCGTATGTCGATTGATTATCATCCCGTATTGGTTATGGTTTGAGACTTCGGTGATCTAGTTTGCGAATTGCTCGTCTTTTGACCTTGCTTTCAATTAATTGCTCGTTTTTAAGTGCTCAAGTAGTGTTAATCAACCATCCAATCAATTGTTTAGAATGTTTAGGATTTTATTTTTGATTTTTGTGATTTGGACGATCATTTAGTAGACGAAGCTCCGAATAGCCTTCCTTCGAGATCGACCCGAGTCGGGTAACTCGGTTATCCTTTGCCCATCATATCTATACCAAACAATAGACGTTTGAATGCACATTTTTCCATTAATTTTTTTTACCACAGGGATATTTTTGTAAATTTACAATTTTAATATTTTTTTCAGGCGACAAGTAGTAATTTGGGGCGACAAATAACAACACCCTAATATAATTATTTTTAGAAAAC